TGCCCAATCACCGCACTTCCCTTGACGTTCGCAGATTCAATGTTGCTCTGGCTCTTGTCCGTCCGTACTCCCGCTGCATATTCCCGCCGACAAGCTCTGTCTGTTCCTCTCCCCTTTTCCGCCTGATAGCTTTTCTGCACGCCCCGACTTTCTTCTCGGGCGAACCCCGGTTATCTCGCCCATTCGTCTCCCCTTCTTCATCCTCAGTTCCTTCGGAACGTTCTTGTCCCCCGACTTTTCCGCTCTTGGCGTCAGCGATTCTTATTTCATGCAGCGACTGCCCCGCCCGGCTCCTTTCACACCATATAACAGGTCTCAGGTCTCCCCCCCCTTTTTTTTTCACTTTCGGCTCTCGACTCACCCCGGCGACTTCGCTATTCTGGTTCGTTGGTCAGCGCGTCCCTGGACAAGAGCGGCCCCGGTTCTCTTCACACCGCCCCCCCTTCTCATCCTTTGAGTCGCCCCGTAGGCCCTTGAGCCGCTCATCTGCTGCCGCTCCAGCTTACTCAAAGGTCTGCACAGAGGTCAAATAACCCAGGACTTCAGCCAAGTTCCTCAGACATCCATATCCCGGAGCACTTGAAAGCAGGTAATGTACCCGGTCCCTCCCCTATCTCTGAAGTCGACTCGAATCCCCCCCTTCTTCTTTCAAAGCGCCTTCCTCCCTTGACTCGGTAGTAACTTGCATATCCTCCGGTCGTGCCAGCCATGCGGCGGCCGTTGGTCCCCACTGGCGACTCGCATACTTTCCGGCAGTCCATGGGAAAACTGCCTGCGGTCATCGCTCGCATCAGCCCACTGTAGTCCCCCATTACCGTTTCAAGCCCCGCCTTGGGCGCGGCCACCGGGCCACACGTTCATCATGAATTTTTCGCAGGCCCCCGAAACTCGAGTTGCTCAGGACAGGAGCAATTCGCCGATTTTTCGTAGTCATCCCCGAGTCCTCACGGGCTCCTTCTTTCAGCATTTTCCCATGGTTCGTCCAAAGCCCGACAGCAATCCCGATTCCTTGTCCCCGGTGTCGAAAGCTCTGGCTTTAGGGGATCCGCGCGAGCCGGCTTGCAACTAGAGTCCGGACTTTCTCCCAGCCAATCGAAGGGTTAGTATAAAGGCCCGGACGCCCGAGGACATCCATAAACACCATATCCACATGCACGCATATGTCAAAACCCAAACGAAGCAGCAAAAAGAGAAAAAAAGAAGTATTCATTTCAAAGAAAGAAACCCTTCGGCTGGTAGGCAGCCGCCCGACAACGTACTTGCCTCGCACCTCCAGAAAGGTCCGATCTTTGGGGGGATGTTCCTATATGCTCACCTTGCTGCAAACCTCGGGAAGATGAGAACCCACAACACCACCGTGAGTAGCAGCAAGACAGCGCAAAAGAGAACGGCGATGGCCTCGACAACCAAAAGCAACAGTAGGGTTATCAACAATGCCCAAAGGAAACTGCAGCCTGTGCACCAAGCTTGTCATGCCTCCTTGCCCTAGCGGTGCAGAGATGAACAACCCTCCCCACATTGGCCGCCAGTGTCCTGCGTCCCCTCCCTTTCCGCGAGCCGCTGCAGACGTCGAACGGCTCCCCACTCGCCCGCAAGCTCCCCAGGACGTGTAGGTGTCGACTGGCGTGGACGCAGAATGGCTCGGTAAGGAACTGGAGGACAGGAGAGAGGAAGGAGTGACTGGCAGATGCCTGACAACAACTGAACGCCCGTCCAAGCCGATCGCCTCACCACAGGGTTCACACGACACACGTGAACAATATTTCCCGCCTCCAAGGTGCGCCCTCAACGACGCCGATTCACGAACATATTCGGCAGATCCCACAATCCAGTGCCTCGCAGCAAGACCGGCACCGATCATCGTCAACGCCCTGCCTCCAAACCGGGTCGGCTGGAGTCGATGCACACCTCGGGCCAGAGTGCGGGTGATGGACGGCGTGCGCTGCATTGCTATCCTGGCTATGCTGTCGGCGTTGATCGTAATGGCCAACGTCCCGTTCAATTGCATGCCTCATGCAGAGGAGGCGCGTTGTTGACAGACTGCGCGCTCGTGTGGGGCGTCCCTAGTTGCTCCCTGCATTCTGTTCGTGGAATTTTGTGTTTTGTGTTTTTTTTTTTTCACCTCCCACCCTTTCCTGATTTAAATGTCCACCGCTCGCCAAAAAATTGTGGGACCGTCGCGAGACACAACAGCGTCGACAGGGACTCGACGACAAAGAGGAATGGGACCGGTCCATTTCCTGCGTAACAGCGGTGGCATGTCCGCCATCTGCCCAGGACCACTACACCGGACATTGCACATGTCTGACGCGGGACACTGCACGCAGCTCTCCGTTGGCTATGGAAGGGGTGCCCCCCCTCCTACCCTTCCGATGCCAACGAAATTCCTTGTTGCCCGGGGGTACCAACGGGCCGTGTGGGTAGTGGAAACACTTTCCCTCGATTTCCAGAAACCGCCGGGCACATCTGTAGGATTCCGCAGACCACTTTTTTGGTAGGCAGGTAGTAAAGGTGAATGGAAAGAATTTGGAAGATGATGAAAGATTTGAGAGAGGAAAGTATAGCGTAGATTTTGTGGTAAACGCCTTTACACCGGCAACGGGACGTAGAGGGGCTGCTGATACGAGAGACAGACCGTTTTCGACATTCAAGGTTCGGACACAAAGGCAGCCTTTTTTTTTTTTTTTTTTTTTAAGGCTAATTCTTTAAGCCCGTAGCAGCCACATGTGTGCTCAACCCTCCAACGAGGGAACATGCGGGACCTGCAGATACCTGCTACAGCACCGGCCAGGGGTCAGCCGTAGCATCAGGACCGAGCTTCTTCGATGGGCCAGTCACTGTGCCTCCCCTCCGGTCCCCTCCCCCTATGAACAGCAGCAGTCTCTGGTCAATGCCACTCGGGAGTCGATGGGCCAGTCACTTTGCCTCCCCTCCGGTCCCCTCCCCCTATGAACAGCAGCAGTCTCTGGTCAATGCCACTCGGGAGGACCGATGGCATATCTCTAGGTGGCAGGCGCGAAGGCAGGTACTTGAGGCCAATGGGGATTGAACCCAAGACCTCCTGAATGGCAGTCGTGTGCCTTACCAATTGAGATAGGCAGAACAGTATGTCCTTCATTGTCAGAAAGGGAAAAACAAAATTAAAGAAGAAGAAGAAGACACTGGATGTTGAGGCAGCGCCAGTACCCCGACTCTGGTAGTACATGTCCAAATCCGCACATCCTTCACAACCTCTTTTCTACCATCCTTCACATCCTTCACATTCTGCAGGCGGGCCTTTCTACACTAATGTAGAAACCACTTCTCTGACGATTGTCGAAGGACATTTTTTCTTCGACAGTCTGTGTAGGTGGGGGGGGGAAGGACAAATGTCGAAAACTCCAGTTTGGACATTGGTGTGGCGAGGCCCATAGTCTTCCTGGAGGCAGCCTGGCAAACATCCTCACTGGCCCCCAATCCAATTGTCCCTCGTGCACGTGGGGATAGCCACTCTAGGCTCTAGCCGTGCCCTCACACGGCCCCAATCCAATTCGATTTGTCCCTCATGCACGTGGGGATAGCCACTCTAGGCTTTAGCCGTGTCATCACAGGCCCCCAATCCAATTCAATAATTTCAATTTGTCCCTCATGCACGTGGGGATAGCCACTCTAGACGTGCGCTGACGAACACGGGAAGGTCGGCTGTCCGCTGCTCATCAGCAGCCTTGTCGACATTGAACAAGCGTCAGGATCCGGATCCGGCATTCGGGCACATGGGGTTGGTCGGGTTTCTTTCGTGGAAGGTCGATTTATGTGTGTCATCCTTGCTTGCGCAGGGGGCATGCTAATCTTCTCTGTATCGTTCCAATTTTAAACGGATGTCCTGAAGGACCTTTCGTGGAAGGTCACCCCAAACTGGTTCTTCTTTTGTTTACTTATAGAAACATAATCAATCCAGCGGCCTAATGCATGGGTTCATTCCCATGCTCCGCGCCCGCCACCTATCTAGAGATAGACCACTGGATCTCCCAATCTGCATTGAGCAGAGTCTGGCGATGTTCGTAGGAGAGGGGACCACCACCAAAAAAAAAAAAAAAAAAAAAGATAACCAGCGTGTCCGAATACCTTCCTCGGGCTTTTGGCTAAGATCAAGTGTATTAATATCTGTTCTGATCAGTTTAATATCTGATGCGTGGTCCATCGGGCCACAACGATATGAAATCAATTTCTGGGGGCGACGGAGGGGCAAACGGGTAAAAGCCCCTCCTTCCTCGACCTTTCCAGCGTTGCCTCTGTGTTGCACTGCGGCAGAGTGCGGCGCAGCCCTCCATTAAAAAAAAAACAAAGAAAGAAGAAGAAGAAGAAAGAAAGAAAGAAAAAAGGTGTACGGATCCGCCATTCGGGCACATGCGGTTGGTGCCGTTTCTTTCGTGGAAGGTCCCCCCAATCTGATTCCATCTTTTACTTATACGGATCTGTATCTCTCTCTCTCTCATCCCTTGCTTCCTTCCCCCTCCCTCACAGGTGTACCTATCTAGATGGATAGATAGGTCGGAGGAACTGCGCACGCGCGCGCGTGTGTGTGTGTGTGTGTGTGTGACACACACAGAGAGAGAGAGAGAGAGAGAGAGAGAGAGAGAGAGAGAGAGAGAGAGAGGGGTGGTCTCCAGAAGCAAGGTGAGAGAGAGAGAGAGAGAGAGAGAGAGAGAGAGAGAGAGGCGTTGCAAGGAAGGCCTCGAAAGGTAGCTGACCAGGGCGACCTATATATAAACACTCAGATCCACACAACGCACGCATGTACACGCACAGACATACCCAGATAGATAGATCGTTGGGTAGGTACACACACACACACACACACACATAGACACACACACAGACAGAGAGAGAGAGAGAGAGAGAGAGAGAGAGAGAGAGAGAGAGAGAGAGAGAGGGGTAGAGGTCACCGTGATGATGGTGACGATGAGGGTAGGTGGTATCCGGGGGACGTATGACAAGACCGGGTTTGATCAAACGAGTATGGGCATCACAGCGATAGCCATAAGCCTTGTGCTTGTCCTGTCCAGCCAGACGGCCTGCGCGAGGCTAATTCTACGTGACCCCTTTCCCCTTCATTTGGGCGGRSTGGAGCTCGAAGCTWGGCTCGATCGACGAGATGCTCTMTTATCCGAGACCTTTGCACCTCCCAACGGGAGYGACAGTTCTACTTACTACTCCGTTGCCGACTACAATACGAGTGTCGATGAGAAGCGCATAACCACTCTTCCCGGCTTCACCGGCCGCATTCCGTCTCCTCACTACGCGGGCTACGTCCATCTCATCCCGAAGCGAAGTCTGCATCAGAACCTGGACCCGAATCCGGACCCGGTGAGCAACAATTTCACAACAGCAACGCCGTCCACAGATCCCGTTGTGAAATCCTTTTTCTATTACTTCGTAGAGTCGGAGAGGTCACCGACAACAGATCCCGTTGTTTTGTGGCTGAACGGAGGGCCAGGATGCTCCTCCATGTTTGGATTCGCAATGATCAACGGCCCTTTCCGGTTTGCAAAGCCATCGAAAAGCGAATCGCAGCAATCACAGCATCTGCTGCCAAAGCTGTCCGTTAATCCATTCTCTTGGAGCAAAGTAGCGAATATGATCTATCTGGACTCCCCATTCGGAGTGGGACTGTCGCTGGGACCGCTGCAAGAGAACGACGGGTGGCCGGACGATTCATCGATGCTGGACGACTGGCAGACGTCACTGGATCTGCATGCAGTCATGCTTGCATGGGTGAAAGCTCATCCCTCCTTCAGGTCGAACCCGATCTACCTGGCGGGGGAATCGTACGCGGGAGTGTACATCCCGATGCTCGCGATGAAGATCGTCGAGGGCACCGACAACAATCACCACCTCCTGCCTCATCTCAACTTGAAAGGGTACTTGATCGGCAATGGCGTGGCAGAGGCCGAGGAAGCGCTGGGGTTCGAGAGCGTGGGAAGGGTTGAGGCGGCCCGGGGGCTGTCGCTCATCACAGAGGAGATGTACAGGTGGGTGACGATTGCGTGCGGCGGCTCCAGGCAGGTCATGGCTGACAGCTGGCGTGCTTCCAATTCTTGTCGCTCTGCTGCCAAGGCCTTCGCTTACCTCTTCCTCGGGTATACCACCTTTCGTAGGGTAGATATATACAACACCCTAGGGCCTTGTGAGAGTGATCTTTGGCCCAGCTTCACGGCCTACCACGACGTTATGTCTAGCATCTCTAGAAACATGTCTCGTCGCAACCTGACCAACCCGGCTGACGTCGTAGATCCCGACAACGTAATGAATCTGCTCTTAGATCGCCTGACGTCTTATCCCTCTTCAAATGGGTCTCGTTTCTGTGATGACCATGATTGGCTAGGAGCTTGGTTCAACAACGCCCAGGTCAGGACTGCCATAAACGTCCCACCTGTGGCAGAGATAGGCAACTGGACTTCGTGCTCAGATCTTATCCACTTGCTTTACTGGCAAAACGGCGGCAATATGGTGCCAATTCACCGGAAATTGACATCCAAGTACGGGCTGCGGGTGCTGATCTACAGTGGAGATCACGACCTTGTGGTCCCCACAACGGCTAGCGAGGCTTGGCTTCGCTACCTTGGCTATGGCGAGGCGTTCCCAGGGGCGCTACTGATGGAGAGATGGAGGGTAGGAGATCGAACGGCCGGTTTCGTGCAGTACTACGAGAAGAACCTGACGTTTGCAACCGTGCTTGGGGCCGGCCATGCCGCGCCCAAAGACAAGCCGGCAGAGGCCTTCGAACTCTTCAGCTCTTGGATCGATAAATCGGGCAGTTTTAAACACTAAAAGAAGCTATTTCGTCTGCGTGCAGTACTATAGGCGTACTACAGGGGGAGTGAGCGGGGGGGGGGGGGGGGGGGGGGGGGGGGAGAGAGGGGGGGGGGGGGGGGGGGGGGGGGGGGGGATGGGAAGGGAAGACAGAGTCTAGCACAGGGCAACATTTGGCATTGCATATGTGAAGACATGCATTAGCAGCTTTCCTAGTCCGAAGTCCAGGA